AACTCGTCTGTCACTTCCCACTCAAGTTTTCACACTACTGTTCCTCGCAGTGTGCACAGCACACAGGACACACTGCCTTGCTGAAGGAGCATGTCAGTACTTCCCCTATCAGTATAGTGAGAAAAGAGTGTTTTCACTGTGGTTTTCTCACTTCAGAACTTGGCCCCATGTCATAGTTCCCTGTTTCCTTCATCATGTCCCCCCTCATACTGCACCTTTGCATAAGGCTGCCTAATTTACCTGCATGCAAACCAGCTGATGCCATCCTTTTAGTTTGGAGTGCAGCACAAAGGATGACTTGTTTCTACAGGGTGGTTGAACTAGCCTCTAAAAGTCTCTGCCCAGAATCCTCCTGGCACACACCACGCAGGGCTGTGCAGATGAATCCAGCCTTACAGGCATGTACAATGATTTAGGTAGAAATAACTTTTCCTCCTGACATACACCAGTGCCTCTCACACAGATGCATCTGAGCTCCTGATCTACAGCCTTGCAGAAGGCAGAACTCTTCATGTTAGGTATTTCATGGTGGACGTTGATAAAATCTGATGCTCTTAATGAGCAGGAAGCCATTCAGAAGAGCCAGATAATAGAATGCTTTTTCTTTTAATCAAGGGCTTCCCTACTAGCAGGAAATACATTGAAAGGCATTTAAATTATAAGTCATTTCTTGCATTGAAGTGATAAAGATGGTCAGTGAGACAGTCCTCGGATACATGGAACCAGGTCTGGATGCTGAGGCAGAAATCTTGCTGAAGATCTGGTGGCCAGGGCAGGGGCACTTTCTTGAACCTGTATTTTCAAATGCTTAGCTTCAAGACCAAGGTAGTCACCATGTTCCCTCAATGCATTGCTCCTTCCCCTTCTTAGGACTGTTAACAGTCCTGTAACATAAATTCTTAGCAGAAATCTTACTTGTTAGCCAGTGATGAGAGGGTACAGTGGATGGAGGACCACGCATCATCCCCGTGTTTTCTCCACTCAGTCTCAGAATGGAGAATTCAAGTGGGAACTATTAAACCAGTCTTGTAGCACTGGATTTTTCTCAGTTCCTCTGAAATTCTGTCTGCAGTAGATTTAGGCCAGAGATTAAAAGAACTAGTGATCACAGCCAAATCCCTTGCTTAGTTTTGCCTCACAATAAACTTGATCCTGTGTTATCTCCACATTGCATTGTGCTGAAAGAGCCCTTGTGATGCTGAATGCACAAATGCTACGGTAAGTCATGCGTGCCATGGGGAAATGCTAAAAAAACCCATACAAATCCTATGCACACAGCTGGGTCAAATGCTACATGAACACTTTCAACTGTGACTGTCTACTTTTGTTGTATAGAACAAAAGGTTAATAGACTGTATTTCCTGGAGCTTGAAAAGCAGCTCCAGAATACAGAAAAAGCTAACTCCAGTTGGTTTTAAAAGCATACAAAAATACAAATACTAACAAATTCAGGGAAACTGAGTAGTTTCTGACAAAGCAGAAGCTAACACACTCCCCTGCTGGAAAAATACCGTAAAAACATGCTATTTCTGTTTTGTCCCTTTATGTCTACAGCAAACACACAGCTATCATAGGTTGCTTGACTGGCAAGAGATGGCTAGAAAAGTCTGAGTGATACACTGGCTAAGAAAAAATAAATTGTTTGGGGAATCTCACCAGGTCTATGTATGACATCAGAATGGACATCAGGAAAAAGTCTGTTAGTTTTACTCTTAGTAGCTAGTACAGTGCTGTGTTTTGGATTCAGTATGAAAATAAAGCTGATAACACACGGATGTTTTGGTTGATGCTAAGTAGTGCTTACCCTGTCAGGAACTTTTGTCTCACACTCTGCCAGTGAGCAGATGCACAAGCTGTGAGGAAGCATGGCCAGGACAGGTGACCCAAACTGGTCAAAGGGATATTCCATACCACGGAATGTCATGCCTAGCATATAAACTGGAGGTGTTACCTGGAAGAGGACAATCGCTGCTTGGGGACAGGCTGGGGCATCTGGAGATGAGCAGTTGTATTGTCCATCACTTTAATAATTACAGTTGTTTTTATTATGACTATTATTACAATATTTAGTATCACTATAATTATTATCAAAATATTTTGTTTCAATTATTAAATTGTTCTTATCTTAGCCCACGAGGCCTACCTTTTCTTTCCAGTTCTCCTCCCCAGCATGGGATGGGGGTGGTAGGGAGTGAGCAGCTGCATGGCACTTAGTTGCCAGCTGGGGTTAAAACACAACAGTCTTCACTGAGAGGGTGGCTGGTCAATCGCTGGAACAGGCTCCCCTCAGCACCAAGCCTGTCAAGAGTTCAAGGAGCATCTGAACAATGCTCTTAGTCATATGGTTTAGTTTTAGGTAGTCCTGCAAGAAGCAGAGAGTTGGACTCAATCCTTATGTGTCTCTTCCAACTCGAGATATTCTATGAGTCTGATATCCCAAGTGTCTCATAGGTAATGCCACACTTCTGGGACAGGTGCATAGCAGCAGGTAAAAGCTTTCTCACTGTGTCAGTGTCCACTGCCTAAAATGTCAGCCTAAAATCGGACTCACTGCTTACATGGAGGAGAACAAGGAGTATACAGCAAAATGTGCACAGGGCCTTACTTGCCAAGGCTGTTCAGCACTGCCACGGTAACTGGAAAGACAGCAGATATCCCTGCAGGTGTACATGGCACAACCAGACAAATGGGGGATGGGACAGATCCATGACCACCCAAGACAGTTCTTGAGGGAAAAAAAAAAACATAGAAGTGAGCTCTGCCATGCATAAAGGAGAGCCTGTGCATGTCCAACAGAGAAAGGGAATGAGATCAGTGAGAATGTTGAGAAACTCATGGGAGCACCTGCACAAATTTTGGGCTGCGAAGACCTTCCATTAAGTAACTGACACCACAGTTGTAACTGTTCACAGTAACTCACTGAACTGTAGCTTTTATTTCGTCCTAAGGACCCAAGAGTTAGATTTGGACCTGGACAGTGGTTTTAAAGGCAGCCACTTAAATTAATGTTCAGCTCAGGAGGTTAATTTAGTTCTGAATCCAGGCTCAGTTCCCCTCCCAAGATAACATTTGACTCACATGAATTAAAGAGAAAGCTCAAGTGCAGAGCATGCAAGGTGAAATATGGCAAGCCTATATCCCTTTTCCAGATGATGAAGCATGCCTAGCAGAGCAAATTCATCTCAAACTTCCTCTCACCATTTCTCCAAAGTGCAAACTCCACATTTCTGGGACCCTTCAGCATCAGCACTGTGGGACTCAAGTAGATACAGATACACACACACATTTCACCCACACCTCCCCTGACTATTTTAAGCCTCTCATTCCTATAATTGACAGCGTTACATGCTCCTTCCTTTCCTTTCTCATGACCTATCACAGCAAGCAAAGGTGATCACTGCAAGTGGGTAACAGCAGGTTCTGCATCTAAATTTATGAGCCTGCAAGGTGTAGCAGCTCCAACAGGATGCAAATTAGATACCCCTTGGACAAGCAGGACACAGCTAAGCCTCTTCGACAAAATGGTAGTGCCTTGAGGAAAACTTATTTTAGAGTGCAGCAGTGAGGAAAAATTGCAAGAACAGGTAAGAGAAGGAGGGGAACAAGGTGCTTCAGGTGCTGGAGAAGGCTCCCCTACATCCCGTGGAGAAGACCATGGTAAAGTAGGATTTCCCCCACAGCCCAGGGAGAACTCCATACTACAGCAGATCCACTCAAGTAACCTGCAGTCCACAGTGAGCCCACACAGGGGCATGCTCCTGACAGGAACTGTAGACAGGAATGAACCCACACTGGAACAGATTTATCCTTCCAGGACTGCAAGCCATGGAGAGGATAAACACTAGAGCAGGGAAAAACATGAAGAACAGGGAGCAGGAAACAGGAACTGTTACAGAGAGATCACAACCCCCATTGCCATATCCCTGCTCTGCCGGGTGGGAGAAGAGGGCAAGATAGGGGGATCAGGAACGAAGGAGTTAAGTTCAGCCTCGGAAGAAGGACTGTGGCAGGAGAAAGGTGGCTTAGTTTTTGTTTGTTCCTTAGCATCCAACTCTTATTACATGGTAAGACATGAGTATCTTTTATCTCAATGCACAAGCTTTTCCATCTTACTCCCTCCCCCATCTCCTTCCGAGGGAAAGGAATAAGAGAGCAGCTGGGTAAAGGTCTGACAGCCAGCCATAGTCAACCTACCACAACAAGACACAAAAAGAAAATCCCCAAAATACTTCTGGTGACAAGTAAATGATGATTTCAAATTCTGGAAAATACCTGTCTGCACAGTGATGAATACAGAGAAAAGCAGGAAAATGAGACTTCTATTAACAGTTATAAACCACCATACTTACAGTCCTCTGTTCCTCCTAAGTATACCTCCTTGTTAAACTAAGCTGGAATAAACATATCATTTCACACATCTAAGCTCAGTTACTAATCCCTTCAAGTGCCTTGTGCAAAGACTGAAACCATCTTTTCAAACAAATGACTGTCTCCACTTCCCTTAACCCATCTCATTATTCAGTGTAAAGCAATACCCATCATTTTCTTACTATAAAAATCATCCCACTCCCCTATTTCAGGCAGCACCAACCACATAAAAGTCCCTATGATGCACACTTATCACAAATTTCAAGTCTATTCAGATAAATCATGCATGTAGAAAATATTTTACTTAATTTATACAGTTTCTAGTGTTTCTTTCTTTCTTTGCTCCATCTTCAATCTCTTCCATTTCTTACATTACCTGAGCAGGTCAGGTTACCAAAGAAGTGAACATTCCTCAGTGTAACAGTTAAGATCCTTCTTCTCAGCCCTATAAACATTCCCATTTTGTCTCTAAGCATGAATTTACTACTATAAAAGGCCACAAAAAAGCTCTTTCAAGATAGTATAAGAACTATTGCAAAGATTATTATTTATAAGAAAGGCAAAAAATTAAAGCAATTTACCTTCTTAATCTCACAGCTCACATATTAGATGAAATGTAACACTTCATAGGGTAGGGGGAAAAATCATGGTTTAATTACAGCAACGTAGCATAAACGCCTTAGTAGTCGATACCAGGATATTATTGTGACATCTAAACTAAATTTGAGTTCTCCACAGACATCATAAACAGACACTCTAAATTCCCTAAATGATTGACATTAAGAAGGTTTATACAAAAGCAGTCAGTTGTTCAATCTTTAAGACGTCATGACACGGTGAGACAAACACACATACATCAGTATAGTACAGCGAAATGTTATGCTACATTTTGGACAGTTCAGAACTGAAAGTGCTTCACATCTATAGGACAAGAAATGGCTTCATCTCCTCATCCCTAAATGATGAGAGCAAACAAATAACCCTTTAATAGGTTAAATAAACAGTGCCCCATTTATCCATGCTTATATAAAGTTTCCAACAATTCAGAAGGTCCATGGTGACATTTACAATTTATATACAGTGTAACAAATTGTCAATGGAAAAAGCATCAGATACTCCTTGGTTCCCAAAAGCCTGAAGGTGCTCTCTGCACTAGAGGCAAAAGCTATCTGCAATATTAGGTTGGTTTTCTTCCCACCTCCCCTCCCCCCCTTTTTTTTTTTTTGGTGTTTTTTTATGAAAATTAGTCATCCCAATCCATCTTGAATAAAGTCAGTCCCTAAGTCCTGGTCGTATTTTACAACTGTTTAATCCCAGTGTTTAAGGCATGTTCATTAGATGTCAGTATAGGGGTACTGTCAGAAATGATAATAATCACAGGCACTAAGAGTCAGCAGATTTACATAGCAACACCACTCTTCACAATACAAGGTAAAACAAATTGTCATGATGGAAGTTTTTCCTGAGTAAATTTGCTAAATACTGGTAAGGTTAGTGTTTTCCTTTTATACATCTTCCTCTGGAATGTCCTTTCGCATATGCTCAGCTGAAAATTAAAGTTCGCTCTGTAAATTTGCCTGAATGTCAGAAAATAAAAATGTTAGCAAAATTCTAATTATATCAGCATTCCCAAATCTAAATATGGCCAAGATACTATGAATTTGCATGGTTTAGTATCACTTAGCTTTCAGCAAGAGTATTTCCTAAATGTGAAGATAAATATAAATGCCAGTCCACACTTTTGTGCAACTGTAAACATCAAGAAAAGATTTTGGTATAGAGAATTAAAATAAGTTTTAAAGTTCTGTGAATATATGTAACTCTGATAATGTAGACATTTTTCATTTTCTCCTCCTTTAGGATTAAAGGAAAACATTTTTAAATTGCAGGAACACAAAATACCTACAAATATATTCAGCTTTTTAAAACAGACAACTTGTCTATTCAGATTATCAAGTATCCATTCCCACAGAATTGTTTCACAAGTATGCAATAACTGACATAATTTCCTATTTAAAAAAAGCTGTTCTTGGCTGAAAAAAGTGGATAGCTTTAAAAATAGATTTTCCAAAAGATTTAAAATGTGCATGACAGTTCTTACAACCCTAATCACCCTTGCTCCAACTTACTAAAGTTCATATAAACATTTGCTCAAGTCTGAGCATTACATTTAACAGGAGTTAAAGGGCACTAGAAAATCAGGATTGTAAAAGGTGCGATTCAGGTCTGTGCTATACCTGTACTTCTGACCGTCAGCTGAATAAAAACCCCTCAGAAAACTGCACCATCTGGAGTTGAACCCAAAGTTTGATGAAATCTATGAAAAAAAATGAGCTTTAATGGGATTAGTATTTTAAGTACTCCATTTTAAGCTCACCATTTGCAGTGATGTAGCATCTCCTATTTCAAATACAAGAAACTGCAGTAATTGCACCTATCAGACTTGGGAATTAATGTTCCTTTACGTATTTTCAAATCTGTCAGCAGTGCAAAGTAAAAATTACAGTATGATTTATAAGAAAAAAAATCTTATTTTCATATTTCTTTCCATTTGAATCCTAGTAGGGCAGAAACCAGCAACATGCTGAGAAAATAGGGTAGGAAAGAAATGAGTGCTTCCACAGTATGGGAACTCCAGAGAGTCTTATAGTGGTATAAAAACAAAGCTCTGAATGAAATTTGGTCTAGCCTGTGTGTCTTATGCACAAAGGTTAGCTAAAATTTAACTGCTGTGACCATAAAATATAAATAGCAATGATTTATTCACAAAATTCTGGATTAGATTGATTTTTTTTTTTTGTTTAACAAACAGTATGATCCATTAAATTATCAGCCAGTTGTATGTTTAAGCACAACAATAGAAAATGTAGTACACAAACACCTAAAAATCACAGTCATAAAAAGCAGGCAAGTACATCAGTCTTCTGGTGGCCAAAGCACAACAGATTAGTCTGCCAAACAAGTGTATGTGAATGTAAGTTGTGGACATTAGTTTTGTTAAAAATTGTTTCTACTGTCAATAAACAATTTTCTGTATTTTAATACTGTTCTTAAGGAATTGTAAACTGTTTGAAAATGTATGGAGAGACAAGTAACAGTCAAGGATTTAAATATAGTGGTCAATAGGAAAAACAGGGGTTTAAATTTGCATGTGTGATGAGTGGGTAATTTGGAACTAATTCATAATTCATACCATTCTTAGGTAAGACAGTACTGCCATCATTTCTAACACTTGTGACCATTGTAGTAACAAGAGAAAAAACCCCCAACATATCAGCCCTGATACATCAATCACATATGCATTCAAAATTACAGCTATTTACATGAAAAATATATATTTAATTAAAAAGCCACTGAAAAACATGGACTTTTAGTCAGGTGCTGCACTTTCTGCAAATGAGGTAATTTAGATGCAAACAAATTAAGTTTAGTAGAGTTCAGGATCCATGGTCTCCACACTTAAAGCACAGATTGCTTCAGAAAATGGCTTGACTGTTTCTGTATGCTCAGAGGAAGAAATCACTAGATCCAGTTAAATCCTGCTTTGTAGTGTTCTTGATGCAACACTGACTAATGTCAGAAGGCTTCCCAGCTCAGTTTTACAACTGGTCTTTCAATAGAAAGAAAAAGGGGGGGACAAAAAAGAAAAAAATTAGTTATAAGTTGGTTTCATCCCAAGATGGATCATTCATGTTCTTTAGGACTTTTCTAACAAGCTTCTCCAAGTCCTTGCGAGCTCTTTGTTCCTCTTCTAATGATTTCTTCATCTTTTTGTTATCCTGTTTAACAGAGATAGAAATATTACTAGTTTGTTTTGAGGGCTTTTGACATATCTTTTCTTAGTACACATACATTGTCAATTACAAACTCTGAAGGTTCTTCTCAGTAAAACAGATATTAGCTGTTCAAAAGCAAAACTTGTATTAAAACTTCTCAAGTTACATACACATACGTTATTTCACTCAATGGAACAAAACCCACAAAATGGAAACTGAGCTACTTCCTATTCATACTTAGGGGCCCTTTATAACAAAAGTGCTAGTCACAGATGGCCAATAATCTTGAATCTGTTCAAATCTAATCAATGAGGAGTAGAATATATCTGCTGCTAATGGAGAAAGGAAATGGAACAATAAGCAGACTAAATATCTCCTTTAAGAGCCTCCTGTGATTTTAACTAGTTTCACAATCTCAGAAAAGCTTCTTAAAACTTAATGCAAATTGACTTGCTTCATTAGGAACATAAATACTTGAAAAGAGTATCCTGAAAACCATTACACTCTCTGGAAAGTGTTTCTGTGACTAAATTGTAAACAAGATTGATGACTACCAGTCTAAGAGAAGCCTGAATTTCAAGGAACACCATCACTCTGCTTGTACATTAACAAGAGAGTTCTCACTATTTAGTGCCATCAGGCAATACTGAAATAAATGAACAACAGGACTGTAAGGATGTTACTGACCAATCCACAGGAATGCTTACACCATTTAATTCTGTACAGGCCAAGGTGATGCTGGCAACAGTAGGGAAGCAACCAGAACATAACACTGAAATTAGGCCCCAAGACAAGCCTACTGGTGTTTAACAAATGCAGGCCTGCAATTCAGGGGTCCCACTGAGGAGGCAACATCAGCTCTTATTTACAGACATTTCCAGAAATAGGATGTGATCACAGAATCATAGAATATGCTGAGTTAGAAGGGATTCATTGGGATCACCGACTCCAACTCCTGGCCCTGTGCAGGACACCCCAAGCATACCACCATGTGCCTGAGAGCACTGTCCAAATGCTTCCTGAACCCTGTCACGCTAGGTGTTGTGACCATTCCCCTTAAGACCCTGTTCCAGTCCTTAACCACACTGTCGGTGAAAAACCTTTTCCTGATACCTAACCTAAACCTCTCAATTCAGCTCCACGCCATTTCCTTGAGTCCTGTCACTGGTCACAAGAGTGAAGAGATCAGTACCTGCACCTCAAAGTCCCCTCGTGAGGATGCTGAAGACCACAATGAGGTCTCTCCTCAGTCTCCTCCAGGCTGAACAAACTCAGTTGCTCCTCATAAGGCTTCCCCTCCAGACCCTTCACCATACTCATGGCCCTCTTTTGGATGCCCTCTAATAGCTTAATGTCTTTCTTAAATTGTGGTGCTCAAAACTGCACACGATACTCAAGGTGAGGCTGCACAAGCATAGAGGAAGAGTGAAACAATCACTTCCTTTGACCAGCTGGTGATGCTTTGTCTGATGCCTCCCAGGACACAGTTGACCCTCCTGGCTGCCAGGGACTCATATTCAGCTTGCCATCGACCAGTTCCCTCAGGCTCCTCTCCAGCTTCTCCTTCTCTAGTCTATACACACAACCAGGGTCTGTCACTTCATTAATTCCATTCCCTCTTCAAGTATGTTGAGAAACTCAGAAATTTCATTGTTTTGCTGTAGGTACAGATTTAATGTATTAAGTCTGCCGATTCAGGTCTGTACTATTCAAGTGTAGTGTCTGTGGAGCAAGAGCTATGAATAACCTCTGGAAGGTGCTATGGGAGGGATCCCACTTTGTAGCCTGGTGTCTACACCAAGCAGGTGCTATGTAGTCCCAGAGAGCCTTTATCCATAAAGGCTTTGCTCACTTGGGACCCTGCCACCTCAGAGGTTATTTCTGCCACTTCTCTAGTTGGCAGCATCACAGCAGTGGACCAACAAATGCTTCTAAGCGGAGAGTCTCAAAAGCCAAGAAAATGAATTTAAAGGCTTTAATATGTCTTGGCTTTGGAAGGTGTTAGATAATCAAGACGATCTATTTGGAAAGGCACAGGAAAAGGGAGCTATTGCTTGAAGCTCAGGTGAAGGTGACTTTCTGATTAAGGGTCACAGAGATGTGCAGAGCCTCAGTGAGGTTGCACATTTATTCTTTGTACAAAGGCAGTCAGGCCATGGGAGTATTCATGGACTATTACTGCTGCTTGTATTACATGAACTGTATTTTTAAAAAGACTGTCAAATTCGAATCCAACCTGGGATACTCATGCTTATTATGCTGAACCAGCAGAATTTAAGTATGCAAGACATCAACTGTCTATTGCAAGGAACATGCATGACAACCTTGGAAATACTGGGTATGCTTACAGATGGGCAAAGAATTTGGATTCATGTTTATAGCCCAAAACCGAAAAAAATTTTAATACAAATCCTTTTTAATTAACACAGGAATTTTATCCAACTTCCTGAGTCAGACTGGTTAAGGTCAGTTGGCAAATTCATACACTGGAGAGCGAGGAAAATTCAGTGCTTTTTTCACCTATACATTAAGCAAAGACTATATGTGGCAGCATTAACATAGTTTAAACAAGCTGTGTCCTGACAAGAAGATGGTATTTTTAACATCTCATTTTAGACACTTAAAACAAGTGACAAAGCAGCACCCAGAACTAACTTGAAACCCTCATTTAAAAAGGTCACATGATAGGTACTGAAAAGAACTCTCCTCTCTAGAAATGAGAGGTTTTAAGAACTGATTTGTAAGAGATGTTCAGGTTACTGTAGGATTGTTAATAAAGGTCTAAATAGATCTAGACACTTATACTACTAAAATGATACATTCTAGAGTAAATACTATTTCTCAGCCTCTATAAGCCTACTTTGCTGGTGATACAGCAGAACTGAATTTGCTTAATGCTTCTGCCATTTCACAGTTTGCAATATCCAAGAATAGCTTAGTAATTCACCTCAGAGAAACAATACTTACTACTCTCAAAGGACTGATGACAACCACAACAGAGGGTACCTCTCCTCCAACATTATTTTACTTTTAAAATAATCCAAAATTCAAGTTCATGCCTGTCAAAGTGAATAAACTTACAATCCGTATTTGTTTTTACAATAAGCCTTCCATCTTTTCGTTCTCTGTGTTGCTATAAATGTAGCAAGTTACCAACCTGTCTTAACTCCTGTACTTCATCCTTTAATGCATATACTGTGTCAACAAGGCTTCTAAAACGAAAAAGGAACATGATCTGTTATAACAGTTTCCAGAAATACATGACTAAATTTATTATTAGACAAAACTGCTAAATGAAATGCAATTTAAAAAAAACAACCTATAAAACAAAACCCCACAGCTAATTGCTAATTTCAAACCTGTGTTAAAAACAAACAAACAAACAACCCCTATTTCTTATCCCAATTTATATTCAGTAAGGCAAGCACATGTTACCACCTTCTGTGACAGGAAACACCTCTCCAGCACTTACAGACCAATACTAGTTTCTGTATTCCAGCTTTCTAGAACAAAACTGTAGTTTCATTTCCAACATACACCTTACCAAAAAAGTAGAACGATGCCACACACTAATTAGAAAGATGACAGCAGTTTAATATTGAAATCTGACAGCACTTGGAAAAATTATTTTTAAGTGAAGCATTTCACTTCTTGACATGAGTGGAGTAAGTTGCACAGCATATACAAAGAAACCAGATATTTAAATGAAGGCCAACTAAAGGACTGGCAGGATACTCAGCTCTGTTCCCTACTACAAACATACCATACACACACTATTATAATGGGAGGAGGAAGAAGAGTGAAAAGTTCACTACTTTAATCTATCAATCATTAAATATTTTCTTACTTCTCTTCTATAACAGTCTGACCATTACTTTTAGTTTCTTCTACAATAATTTTTTCTTCTTCTGGAAGCAGGACTTGAGGAGCTGATTCTTTACGGGAACCTGTTGTAAAAATAAATTACAAAATGAGCAAACCACAAACATTGTTGGGGCCTTTTAAAAATCATTCTTTCATTTGCTGCATGATACACCTGCAGAACCAAGGTATACCACTTCCCATTTCCCCCTTCCCTCCACAAACAGAAGGTACTGACACATTTTTTTACATTTGAAACCACAGCCTTAAAACAACAAAAAAATTGTTTGACACTCCTACTGCACTGCTGACAACTCCCATGTCATCGACAGGGGTGCTACACCATTCAACAAACAGTGCACTATTCAACCATCAGTAAAAGCTATACAAATTCACAATGGCAGACTGAGAAAGAGATAGCTGTGTTTAAATAACCATGATTTAAGCCTCAAGGACAGATTCTGATGTCACACTGATACAAATCCAAGAAACAGTTCAGCTCTAAACCTATTACTCTGTCACTGAGAAGCAGAATAGTGGTATAAAACGACACAGCAGTGAGGGGACTAAAGTTAAAACCCCTTTCCCTGAAACACTATAAGCACTACACTTCTGTGTGTGTGAACAACACATAAATACACTTACAGATAGTGCTTTAGCCTATAATAAATTCCTATCAAATGAAATACACTCTTTGTATTTAATAAATGTTTTTAAAAGCACCTCAGTTTGATGATAAAAACTAAGAACATTCAAAAATCTTCAAAACATTTTCCACACTCATTACAATTTATAACATCAAGGTAAAACACACAGACTAGAAAAAATTAGTTATGATTGGAAAAATCCAATCTCAGATATGTGCATTCATTCATACATACATAAAGTATGTATTCTAGAAACTTTATTTAATTAGGCTGCAACAAGTTACAAGTGGGTTTTTTTTTAAGAAGGTCTGTAAATAAATTGGTGTCTAAGCATTTATTCAGAATTCAAACACTGCAGATAAGGCATTAAAGTTCTTGCATATTTTAACTAAGATATCAGTTTTAACAAACAGGGTACATTTGCCTACCAATTCATTTTAATGAACTTTCATTAACGAGGAACATCTCATCCACTTTGAACTGATAATCTGGTATTACAGAGCACAGGCCTGTCCAGAGAAATCAGTTGCTGAACAGCTGCTTTGTGATAACAGTTCTTTTCTTTTATGGTTCATGATAAAATACATAATCTAAACAAATAAAAAATGGAATAAATCACAGTCATTACAAAATACTAACTTCCCAAACAGTTGTAGTCTTGAGTTTTGAGCAATGATCTTGTAGGGACTTAGCTCTATGTGTTAAAATTATTTTAACTATTTTAGCAAACAATGACAAATGTCTAATGAAGAAAACAGTTTCCTTAAGCTTACAGTAAATATCTAATGAATCAGTATGTGACTGTCAAAATTATATAGAATAAAGATAACTGAAGATTTGAAAAAGAATCTTGTCCTTGAAAGCTGTAAATTCTTATGGAGTGAAGAAATCTTTTAACGGTTAATATGCTTCCACTCCCACTTATTTGCCAGGAACAAACAACCTATAAAACAAACATATCCAAACTCTGCAAGGAACTCAAGGCCACTTCCCTGTTTGCGCTGTCAATCTCTAATTGTAAAAAGCTGTCTCATGTTTATTTCAGTTAACTAGTTACTGCTCTGCTTTATTAGCCTAACAGGTAACACACAACACTGAGTTAAATGTTATATTAGGAATTAGTTTGGCAGCAGCTGCTACCAGATCACTATATTCTGAGTCTCTGTATCAACGTGGAGCACCTCAGCTCAGCACACACCAAGGGAGACACTGACCAAAGGAACAGAACTGTCACGTGTTTCTCACCCGTGACTCCCTTCAACCAAAAGGAGCATGCATTATCATTCTCTCTGTACAGAGCTGCATCCAACTGTCTGCCTGGGCAGAGTAACAAGGGTCCTTGCAAAGTAGAAATAGTGTGGAGTAGACAGCTTGGAAAAAAAAAAAGTCCCATACATGTTATACGCACACATGTACGTAAAAGAGACGTCTACATCAGCATATCCTGATGTAGGTATGGCAGAGCACAGCAAACATTTAATATTACCGAGACATAGAAAGCAGTTCACAAATATTATACACACAAGGAAACCTCATGCTACACATATACACACAATGGAAAACTGCTGCTGTGAACACTGACCTTCCTGTGCCATAAAACATTAACTACCATGGAACTCAAGACATCAAAAGTTTCACTCTTGGCTGCATTGCTCCAATACCCTCATTCATACAACTCTTACTTGTATCTCAGATCTTTGCTGCTCTTACAGTTTGTACTTATGCGAAAACCCACACACTTGCTCCTTAATCTTGGTTTCCTTTTGTGAGCTTCGGTGGGTTTTTCTTTATTGTTGTTGACCTTTTCTTCCTAAACCCCACAAGTGCTTGCTGAGTAAGTAAGTAATTGCAATGGCCAGTCTTCGCGAGCGAAGATTTGGGAAAGGTCATTAACCTTTGTGCCTGCGCAGTGGATTTTTTAGGTGA